CTCAGACCTACAGAAGAAACACAATTGTGTGCATCCTAAACACAGGCAGGCTATTTAAAGTTCAGGTATGGGTGTAGGTCCTGATCCTGCAAACTGCTCTGCACGGGCATAATATACTATGAGAATCTAAAAATGAAAGGACACTGTGTGTGAATACATTTATTAAATCTTATTTAAAAGAGACACTGAAATCATCTATGCCCAAGTGTAGGTTTTAGCACTTCAAAAAAATTATTTTTGTGCCGCACAGGAGGGCTTACAAATAAAACCTTAAAATTTATAGAAAAATATTGTATTATTTTTAAAATATGAAATGCAAATGGAATGCATAGGGTGAGAGACACTGTTCTAAAATATTCCTTTGAAGTGTTGGAAACCCAAGCACTTTGGCATCTTTCTAATACAACTGTTTTAGGTATTTGTTAAGGGTCATTGAAGGAAATTGAAAGATTGGGTGCTAGATTGGGCCCTAAATGCTGAGAGAGCAGGGAAGTGAAACTGACTAGTCACTAATTTCATTCTTCACATGGTGTGATAAATTAAATACATATGATAAAAAGGAAAATAGTATACATATTCATTAAGCTTTAATAACCTAGAGAGCTGCTAGTAACCCAAGTTATGAGAAATTAAAAACAGAACATTATTTTTATCTATAGAGTGTCCCTGTAATTTCATAGTGTGAAATTGGCTTAGATTAGGAGACTTGGTGCCAGAGGGAATAGGCTGATGGGAGATGCTCTAAATTCCATGTTCTCACTCACATTACTGTGCTAGCATCTTTCTCAAGCCAAAGAGAGAGGAAGATAAATGAAACATAACAGCAGGAAAGGCAATCCATAGCATCTTCCACTTAATTCAATCATAGTCTAATTAAATCAAAACATCAGGAACCAAAATAATTTGAATTAAAAATGAATACAACTTCTACCCTTTATTTGATTTGTCCTAGGAAGAAATAACTGGATAATTCAATCACTGACTTGGAAAGTTGCCGTAATTATTACAATAATAAGGAAGGCCAAAATCTGAATGAGATAATGGACGAAAGAGCCCAAGGCAGACCCACGATAGTGAAAGATGACTTGCAGCTAAGAGTTGTACTGTTCAGACGTTGTTATTGATATTTTAAGCACTATCATGTGTAAGAGCTCTTATATGCACCCTGTGGTCATGTGGATAACCAGATCAGCCACTTATTTCAGTTGAAGAGATGGAAATAGACTCAATAGAAAGAAGATGGAAGGCTTTGTATTTTGTGACCTGCTTTTGCTGTTATCTATTTCTGGGCTATTAAATCAGGAGTTGTCAGCAATATTTTTCATGGACTCCACACACTACAATATGTACTGGTGTTTGAGAGTCCTGGAGATTCAGTTTGAATAAGTAGTAGGTATTCAAATGTGTGGATGCTTAGCTGCAGTAGGTCAATGCTTTTTGGTGTAGAAAATAGTCTCATCTCATGGGATTTTTCACTCTATTTTCCAAGAAGACCAGTATTCTCTGATTTCAACTAGGACAGAAATGCCAAACTCACTGCCTTCTTTCTAGAAATTTGTGACTTCTGCTTCCTGTCCCAGCTGAATCAAGAAATCTGAGACCACCTCAAACAAGAAATCATCATATTCTCCCAAACACTGAAAGAGAAAAATCAGGAAAGTCACATGGAAATCATGCAAGAAATCCAAAACTATTATTAAAAAACAAAAAACAAACAAACAAAAAAACCCTTGTGACATCCATCCATCCAACACAAAAACAGAAAGTGGGACCAACTAAAACTACTCCACGACATACAGAATACCACCTCCGGGAGAAACAATGGCACCAGTACTCACTACATGTACACTACATGACACCCAAACATCATAAATTTTTCAAGATACCCCTAAGTGGAACTGAATTATCTATACTCTCTTAGGGACTGAACTTCTGCTCCACCACAGGACCTGATACTATACTAATATGTGAAGTACTAGAAGAGTTATTCCACCAACTCCATCTCAAAGAATTATTTCACAACAATGATAACACCACTCACAATTACCATGTCCTCACCTATAATCATAAGAAAAAAGAGTAATCTGACTGGACACCACAAAGTGGACAAAACCACATTTTTGATCATTACATCGATTGCTTCAGGAAAAGAATTGACTGAAATCCTTAAAAAAAAGTCACATTACATCTACCACAATCTCTCCACCGATGAGAGGACAGCTATGCTACACAGTCACTGAAATCTAACCACCAGTTAGCGATCAAACCAGCAGACAAAGAGGGCACCATCATAGTCCTCAACTGTGATGACTATGTTAACAAGGCCAACCGACAACTCTCCGACATCACCTACTATGAAGAAATCAGAGAAGACCCCATGCCATAATTTACCCAGGGATTTCAGGATAACATAAAATTCTTCCCCAAAGAACTCCAAGAAAAACTCAACAAACTCATCCCCCACAAGCCCACTCCAAGGACCTTGTACATGATTGCTAAGATACAAGGGAACCCAAGCAGACCCATCGTGTCTGGCCACAGCGCTCTACTAAAGGAATATTGGAACTCATAGAAACTATCCTCAAAACTCTCACCATGCAAAGGGCCAGATTCCTCTAGGACGCAACTGACTTCCTCCACAAACTCTGCATCATTAACAGTCTCCCTTAGAACACCATCCGTGCCACCATGGATGTCACTTCCCTATACACCAACATCCCTCACCATGGCAGGACAGCTATCTTCCTCAAATATTCACGAGACAATGAACAAGCCTCAGATATCCACTGCAAACACATTACCAAACGCATCCATTTCATCCTCACCCATAACAATTTTACATTCAACAACAAACACTTTGTCCAAACCACGGGAAAGCCATGGATACTAGGTTGGCTCCCCAATTTGCCAACTTCTTCATGGGCCGCCTTGGCTTGTTTTTTAATCTGTTTGAACTGGTTGATCTGGCAGAAGGTAGTAATGAGGACAGATGATCTTATTGTTAAGGTACTGTACTGGTACTAGCTCTGCAATCTTTGACTAATCATTTAATATCTCTGTGCCTTAGTAAAATAGAGATTATACTTCTTTTCTCCAACCCTTTATCTTTGCTATTTAGATTGTAAGTGCTTTAGGGAAAGGAATATCTCTTACTAGTGTTTTATATAGGGCCTAGCACAATTGGGCCCTGATCTCAGTTGTTGGGCCTTCTAGGTGCTGCTGTAGTACAAATAATAATAATTGGTACTGAACATCTGGTATTTTTCAGTCTGTGTCCAACAAGTATTGGAGAGCTAAAAACCCTAGATCATAAGTGTAGAAGCAATTACTGAGAACATGGGGTGTAAAGTGAATTATTAAAATGGTTGTGTGGAAAAACTCTGACTAAAAATGTTGTCCATTATTTGTATGTCTGCCCAATGGCTAGATATGCCTGGCCAACTCGCACATTATGAAAGCATGTTGGAAAGTCTGTCCTAGCTGAGAAACATATGAGGCCATAGACTGATTTTGCAGGTAACGAAAAATTTAACAAAATTGTGGCTCCAATATTATGAATATTGGACCAGATTCTCATCTGATATAACCTGACATCATCATTGTGCAATCACCACAGAGTCACATCACAATGAACAGTAAGCACAGCACACATGAGTTATTGGCCAGCAATCTTCCTCTGCAATTAATGGAACTTTGCTGATTTATGAAAAACAGTTGAGGATCTGGGCCCATTTTTCTTACTTCATAACAGGACTAGACAAAAGAAGGGCCAGTGTTGGAACTTGAAAAGACTAGGATTCAATTCTGTGCTCCACACAGACTTCCTGTGTGACCTTGGGCAAGTCACTTAAACTCTGTGAGTCAGTTCCCCATCTGTAAAACAGGGGTGATAACAGGAGTATTCCGATGATAAACACACTGAAGATCATGAGACACTGAGATACTACGGTGATGGGGGCCATGTAAATACCTAAAATAGACAGACAGAAACAAGAACATATAAACATAGAAAGTAATATATTTTTTTTTACTCTAGAAGATACGAAAGTCTTGTGTTTCCTGCTTTGTCATTGCATTGATACCCTTTTGCTGTAGAGATGGGAGTGAGCTGAAAAGTTCAGAGCCACATCACGCTTATGAGCATCCCAAAGTAGAGCAAAGTGAAATTTTCTGACCAAAAATTTTTTCAGTGAAAAATTTAGGTTCAGCAATACAAAAACATTTTGCAATTTGACATTTTCAAAATTATGAACAACTTTTCATTCCAAAATTTCCAGTTATTTTATTTACAAAAATTTAAAACATTTAAAAAATGCTCAAAATCCTAATGAAACATTTCATTTTGGGTTGCACAAAACGTTTCATTTGAACCAAAACTGTTTTTTCCAACTTTCTAATTTGCTGAAAACTGAAAGTTTACATTTTTGGTTTGACTTGAAATAACTTTTTCCAATCTTTTTATGAAATTGCCAGTGAACTGAAAAATTTGTTATTCACCCTGCTCTACCCTCAAAGTTTTGTTTGTTTGTTTTTGTTTGTTTGTTTATAGTCAGGGCCCATCTTTGATCTGAAGACAAGTAATAAAGATGAAATTCAGTGCTATGCAGAGAGCCAGCACACAGACTATGCTCCACTTACCTCCTATTTAAGCTTCACTTTGAGGGCTTGAGTTGAACTTCAATGCTGCACAGGCTTTCTGCTGGCTCTCAGCATAGGGGTGAATTCATCCTCTGAGAGGAATAAGCTTTGTGGATAGTGAATGAGCTGGGGACACATGGACTGAAATTCTGGCCTCAGTGAAGTCAATGGTGGGTTTGTCGTTGTCTTCATCAAGGCCAGGATTTCAACCAATGTGTCTAAGAATTTCTATGCCATGTGGAAGTGGATAATGTGATTTCTTAGGGGGGTAAAATTAGGTAAAAGCTTCTCTGTCCTTTTCTGTATGCCTAATAATGTTCCTTTCTTCCCCTTTTCTGCTTGTTTCTTTGTATGTCTTTTAGAACCTCTTCCCATAAGCAGCGTTTCTATCTATGACTACAAACCATCTCCAGAAACGGGAGTGTTGTTTGAAATTCAGTATCCAGAGAAGTACAATGTTTTCACCAGAGTAAACATAAGCTATTGGGAAGGCAAAGACTATAGAACAATGTTATACAAAGGTAGGAAGAAGAAAAAAACTATTGAAAACAATGCAAATATGGTTAATCTAAATATCTACCATCTATTGACACTTAATTTATCGCTGTTGAATCTACAGGAAAATAAAAAGGAGTGCCAAGTGACCTGTAGGTTTAACATAATTAGTGATTCTAATGATGTTATAACTACCTATTTAAATAGCCTATATGATATAGAGAGGTAGTAGCCTCTCCATAGTTGAGATGGCCGCTCATCTTCAATTTTAAGCCCAATTCCCATCATAGCTCTAAAATCCACAGAGAAAGGAATATTGTCCTCAGTACTGGTACATGAACACTGAGGTTGGATAGAATTTTCCCATCCAAACTGAAGTTAATTGGACAAGGGGTTCCCAATTTATGACACCTCAAAATAAAGGTGTTCACTGGAATCCAAAACATGTTCTAATCTTTTCTTTTGGTGCTGTTCTGTAGCCAAAAAGTCAGAAAGAAGGAGAGCTACAATGTAGTTTATAGAACTCATGTGGTGATATAGGGTGAAATTCTGGCCATATTGATGTAAGTGGCAAAAGCCAGGATTTCACCCAGAGTGCCCAAGACCAAAGATTAGTTGATTGAACAGCTAACTGTAGAAGTTATTATTGTTATGAATTGTAACATTGGAACGAGCTATTGGCTCAGAGAGGCTTAAAATGAGGTAACAGTTGACTGGCAGAGACATAAAACAGTGGTCCTGACTGAAGACCACTAGCGCTTCCTACACAAGCAGAGTGCCAGTGCTGCAGCTGCAGTAGAACCTCAGAGTGATGAACACCTCAGGACTGGAGGTTGTTTGTAATGCTAAACAAAACGTTACCGTGGTTCTTTCAAAAGTTTACAACTGAACATTGAGTTAATACAGCTTTGAAACTTTACTATGCAGAAGAAAAATGCTACTTTCCCTTTTATTTTTTAAAATAGTTTACATTTAACATGATACTGTACTGTATTTGCTTTTGGGGTGGGGGTGGTGGGGAGGCGGTCTCTGCTGCTGCCTGAGTGTGTACTTCCGGTTCCAAATGAGGTGTGTGGTTGACTGGTCAGTTCATAACTCTGAGGTTCTACTGTATATCACAGCTCAGGAAATTATATTCTTCTGATAGAGCACGTAAACGCTTCCTCAGGTGTCAAATGGAAAAGAATTCTTCATTTCTTTCTTAACCTGTTGGGCAAGGTTGGTGTCTGTTCCCACAATCCGTACCACAGCTAGGTCTGTTTCCGTGATAAGTGAATGGTTGGCAGCAACAGCTACAGTTGCTGCAAAACAGTTTCCATTATAAGATTTTTGTCTCCACTCATTCTTAAGTTTCTGAAATATTCACCTTTTGCGCTGAAATTTTCCAGGCTTAGACTCTCCTCCTAAAGGGGAAATACACCTATGGAAAAGTGCCATCCCAATGAATGTGTTGGTAAAAAGATTTGTTTCATTGAGTTATCAGCCAGCGTTGCAGAATCATCTGCAATTTACTGAATGTTACCCTGAAAGTATTTTGGGCTGGGAAAACGTAATCACACCTAACATTCCATGGCAATGTGATGACAATGAATCAGATCATATTCTACCTTCAGTTATGCTAGTTTAAATCTGAAGGTAATCCCATTGAATTAGTACTGTCTATAGTATCAGATGCAAATAAGCTTGTCCTGGGAGAATAACTCTGAAAGGTGACAAAAGGATATGGATATATACACAGTCCCCAAAGGGTTAATAGTGTAGCTACCTTATTTGCTCAGAATTGCACAGTAGCCAGCAGAATTGTCCTAACAAGCAAATGAATTTTATCGGATGCATAATACATAAAATCACTACGTAAGAGTTGCCATGCAATGCTATTCCAAGGGGTGGGGGAAGGAGTGAAATCAGCAGCAATATTTGTTGACTTCATGGCTATGCTACTGCTATAAATAAATAAATGCACCCTGGCTTTTTATTTAATTATTTGAGGCAGGCATTAATCAGCCACAAAGTCCCCACCCCCAAATAGCCCTAATTCCCCCGACTCCCACATGCATTAATGTTAGAGATTAACCCAGATCTCGTCATTACAAACTGAGCCCGTTTCTGCTATGTGTACTATGAAAGTTGTCCACTGACTATCTTATCCTGAACGTGATGTCTTAATTCACTAGAAGACCAGGGAACTTTTGTATGCAGTAGTTACAGGGATTTGGAAGCTTTTTTTTTTTTTTTTTTTTTTTTTATTTTTTCTTTTTTTTCTTATTTTCTTGTTTAACAGGGTTGCCAGTTGCAATTATCTTTCCCAGGAAAATGGTTCATGTTCATTTTGCTGCTTTTTGCATCTAAGTACCTTTGACAATCAGGAAAAACACTGGCAAACTCAATTATTGGGATTTTATCACTTAGACTGGGCTAACCTATGTTAAACATCCAAAACACCGCTCGTTTAAAGTGTGCCACCATGTTATCTGAAAGTGAACATTTAATGTAAGTCGGGTTGTTGGTTTTTTTGTTTGTGTGTTTTTTGCCCTTCTACAGATTTCTTTAAAGGTAAAACAGTTTTCAATCACTGGCTGCCAGGAATATGCTACAGCAACATCACATTTCAGTTGGTGTCAGAAGCAACATTCAACAAAAGCACGCTAGTGGAATATAGCGGTGTCAGGCATGAACCCAAACAGCACAGAACAGGTGAAGAAAATGTGTATATATACCGTTGACAGCATGTCTACATGCAACACTGTGCAAGGGGTAATGTCTCAATGTTTCCATTATGAACATTTGCTTATAAAAAGTACGTACTGCCTAAAACAAGATATTCTAGGCTTTCTCTCCAGGGATAAGAAGCAATTTGCCAGCAGTTACAAATTACCACACAATTCTTTCCACAGCAGAATATATTTATTTAAGGGTAAAGGAATAGAGAGAAAACATACAACAGATAACACAAGGTTCAAAAATTGGCCATCAATCCTTTGGGGCCCTGACAGGCCAAAGTCCTTCCAACCTTTCAGCAAGTGCTGGGGCCCCTACTGTTTAAACTCAGCCTTTTATACCAAAAGCCCTTTCTTTGTTCCCCTTGGGCCTTTCGTACCTGTTGGAACCAGTATATAACAACCACCCAAGAGGTAATACTTCTCTGGAGCTGTTTACAATCTCAGGGATTGCAGTAATCACTCCCCACTGTTTTTCAGTTCCTGGATGAACTGCAGTAATCCTCCCCCCATGAAGGTAAATACAATTCCTAGCCCACAATGTTACACAGAACATTCATAAATTTAATACAGTACAATCCACAAAGGTACTGAATGTGGTTGCAATCTATTACAGCAGCTATTGTACAAAATGCTCCAGTTAGAAACCCATGCTGTGTATCATATGAAATTTTAAGATCAAGCTTTCCCTTGACATAAAGTGTTAACTTCATTCTAGATGTTTGCACAAAGCTGGCTGGTAAAATTATGAGGGAAAAGCCATATAGTGATCAGGATGACATTTTACATCATGAGTTGTTGTGCGGTGTATTAAGATATTTTTTCTGTATTTCTCAACCCTTTCACAGTTCCACAAAAATAATTTTCCATGCACAAGAGGATTTAAAAGGTACAATGAAAGCAACAAAGAGCCCAACTTACAAGCACATGGTTGATTATTTTTACTCGTGTTCTCACATCAGAGCAACTTAGTTGGGCTACTCATGAGCAAATTTATTAGTGTCCCCACATCTAGACTACTACATTCCTGTACGCTCTAGCCCTGATTCTTCTCTCCCTTTATGTTAGTTTTACCCACATGGAGTTAGTCTTGGCTTATACCTGTATAAGCAAGAAAAGAATCTTAATAGAAAGAACAAAGAATTTCAAAATATTGTGTATTTTCTCTTGCTGCAAACTAGACATGCTAATTTCCATGATGAATTAACTAACCGCTGTAGGGATATATTAAACATACATATTTTTTTAAAATCTTTTCTCTTCTAGTTCCCTACCCTCCTCGAAATATTTCTGTCCAGATTGTACATATGAACAAGAATAACTGGGAGGAACACAGTGGGAATTTCCCAGAAGAATCATTCATGGGACCACAGGATGTAATAGGGCAAGATAAACTTACCCATTTTTCTAATGACCCCACTGAAATTCCCTCAGCAAACACCTCTTACGCATGGCCTGATTACCACTATAACAGCACTGATTACACAACTACATCCCAACCATACTGGTGGACTAATGAAGCTGATTCGTCAGAAAGTGAAGATGAGTTTGTCAATGTAGTTCCCAGTGAATATGAGAACACCAGTACAGCCAGCATGTCAGGGAAACTTACACCAGAAACTCCATCTTTCCTCCCTGTGCAAATGGTGCTAAGCTGGTTGCCACCAAAACCACCCACGGCATTTGATGGATTTCATATTAACATTGAAAGAGAAGGTAAAGTAAAACCCAGGCCTTTTTTATATCCTTCCTAGTGGTGAATTCTTCTTCTCAGAATAATTAGGGGATAGCAAACCTTAAGTATTTTAATTCAGATTTCTTGTGTCTGCAAAACTGGGATAGAGATAAGAATATGCATTCGTTGTATAATATACGGTGTTTCTTGTTTCTGGTCAGGCTGGAAATACTACAAGAAGTTCTCCTGTATCATGTGGGTTCTTCGTGACTAAGATGAAGCATAGCATCAATTTAATTTCTGACATAGTCTACATATTCCCTGCTGAAGACCTACATTGTCAGGAGAGATTAACGTGATGCTCTAATAGGTCCTTTCTGTTTCCACCTGCTATGATCTTTCTTATTTCATTCAGGACCAGTAGTGAGTGCAGTGACGTGGAGAAATGTAATCTAAACATGGGAACCAGATCTCAGCTGCTCTGAGCTCATACTTGTGCAACTCACACACATTTGTAATGAGAGCTAACCAAATATTGTATTAATAAATTCACTTTGATTCACTTTTTGAGTTCTGGGCAAAAGCTCAGGCTACATTATTATTGCTCACTCCAAGTGTTCAAGAATCATGAGAATTTAAAATTTGGGTTTTTTTATTTGCCTTCTAGGGTTTTGAGCCTTTCTGGTTCACATTTTCAAGCTTTTTTTTCTGCCAAAATGAATCCCGCCCCCCTTTTCTTTTTAATGAAAGCTGAGATTCTTACAAAATAACATGATCTGAGGCATTATGAAAAACACCAAATATTGCAAGACTCGCAATAAAATCATGAGAATTGGCAAGCTTGTTGTTACTGGCAAAGCAGCATTAACATAAATCTGCATTGTGACCAGGCTGTAGTCTCATATGGAGCTACCAAATCAGGAGTAATTTCCATAAGAGACAGGGTTTCTGGGTTAAGGAGGACCCTGAAACACCCCTCTGAAACACCCTTGTATGGCTTTGACCATGGAGTGTGAACTCAGGGATTTTGAGGAAGCTAGAGTCACATGCCACTTGGCCAGCTTTTTTCTTGCATACACGCACAGAAGACACAACTTGATTTTGGGCCATAGTGAAGAGGTTCTGCCCACTATCTTATTTCACTGTAAGAGTGTTGCCCTGTACATTATTATTTTTAAATATCTCATTTTTTTATACTACTAAAGATGCTTTCAATAGGATTCTTGTTGCACAGGAGTTTCACATGTGCATACTGTTTACTCCTTTTGTCGAGTCTAAGTGCTGTATCTATTGTGAAGTCACAAGCTCCCAAGGAGTTGATTATGAGGCTCACAAGCAAAGCATGGGGACTTCAGGTTGGACATGAACAACGCAAACAGATGAAATGCTTAAACAACATGGATCAACTTTTCATGTAAATATCCTTAGGGCTTGTCTACCTAGGAGCTAGCCAAAAATAGCTATTGTGGAATAGCTTTTGGAAGTGGCTTAAGCACAAAAAGGCACTGAGTGCACAATAAAAGTGTCCGTGTGGGGAGTTACTGTGGAATAGCTCTTGTGCTTTTAAATTCACACGCTAGCTTATTTTGCAACAGCTTCCCCGTGTGTACAAGTCCTAAGTGATAAAAACTGGGAGTTGGGGGTGGGTGGGGGAGGGAAGGGATCATAGGACTTAATTCTCTTTTTTTTACACCAGTTTTACAGTGGTGTAAAGATTACTCCACTGACTTCATTGTAGTTACTCCATATCTACACTGGTGTCAGTGAGAGCAGAATCAAGCCCATAGAATGTAGAGATTAAAAAGATCTATTGCATCATCCAGTTGTCCCTGCCTGTGGAGAAGTTTCCCTATGGAACCTAAAGTGAAAGAGAGAGAGAAAATATAGGCTATCTTCAGGCAAAAGTTTCTCTAAATGGAAGGCTGAAAAACATGTTCTGTAGGGTGTTTAGGGGGTGGTTGGTGGGATATGGGAGAGGGCCTTTAATGTATCATAAAACAACAGTGAGGTAACCTGCGCTAGAGATTTTTTCATCCACTTCTCCAGATGATTTTTCAACTGACCCTTTCTGACAGCAGTTTTCTTAGACTTTCTGCTGTTTGGGGCAGGGAAATTTTTCAGAACAATAAGGGGAGAGAAGAAAAAATAGCAAACCCTTTTCTTCCCCACTACATTGTTTTTCACTTTCAAGTGTTTCATGGTCACGACAATCTTACTTACTCATCAGTGTTACTGAATGAAATTTTGACCATGGTCTATTATTACTTTATACCTATACGTGAGCCTTGGTCATTAAATATTCTTGGGCTGACAGCAAGGGAATAAAACTACCTGCATAAATCCAGACCTCTTCAATACCTTTTCATCCTGCAGCAGAGGCAGCATTAGCATATCCAATACAAATCAGTTCCTCGGTAGCCAGAGCCCTCTCAAGTTTCAATTAATTCACACTTCTTTTTCTTCTTCTTCCCTGATTTAGAGAACTCCACAGAATTTTTGACGGTAGGTGAGGATACTCACGAATTTATTGCTGAACTGAAAGAACCGGGGAAATATAAGTTATCTGTGACAACCTTTAGTTCCTCTGGATCTTGTGAAATTCGGAGAAGTCAATCAGCCAAAACGCTTAGTTTTTACATAAGTAAGTATCTAAGTGATGATTTCACCCATACAATGTATCTTTAACAGTATATAAGGTGTGATAAATGAAACACTGAATGAGGTTATTCATCAAACTAGTAGGCACCTTTGCAACCTACAACAGTCCCAACAGAGCCTGGTCTCCATGAATTTTCATATGGCAGGGAACAAGATACACTGAAACCAGGTAAGCAAACCTGCCCTCATGGGCCTTTATCCTGCAATCTTGTCTGTGTTAAGAATCAAATGTTGGGTAAATATCTGGTAGAGTTATTGCTAGCTGTTCAAGAAGGAACTCACATGAACATGGAACTTGAATCTTTTGCAGACAAAATGAAAGATAGGCCCAGCCTGCAAAATTCAGAAGTAGGAAAATTATATGATTATTTACTTGTAGGATTCTGGGGGTGAGGGTTAACTGTAGGTTTTATAAAACAGTGTAATCCATGTGAAATGTCACCATATAGCTTAAATCTAGATCACGACTTACAGCTAGGTCCGTAAGTGAGATACAGGTAGATTAGCTCAGACTTTCACCCATCTGAGTTCACATTTTCAAATCAAAGTTTCAGAAATCCTATCACTGAACAATGAACTGTTCTTGGAGACCAAAGAGAGAGAAGAAGAGAGGGACAGCTGATGCAAGAAGGGGTGCCAGAGTACCTCTGCTATGACAATTTCACCTCCCTGTGAATTTTTTCAGATACCAGCTAGTAATAGATATTGCATAACAGCAGATTCATATACTATATTTTAAATTTGATAGCAATAATACAGGACTATACTATCCCATTTCCAACCCTCCTCCTCAAAGTTTGGAATATAAATTAATCTTATTTATTCCTGTTAAATACAATACAATTTATTCCTAATAAATTACAATTCCTTCTAGCCAGGGTTGGTGCCCTCCAGGGAATGTAATATTCAAAAGATGTAATGCGTAAGGGGAGCTATACCAGGGATGAATTTGGCCCATTGTGTACAAAGAGCATTATCTGTATTAAAATGATACAGTAATGTAATAAATGTTTATAGGCTATATGAAATGCAGAAAGTGGGGTTTTGTAATTCATAGACTCTAAGGCCAGAAGGACCATTATGATCATCTAGTCTGACTTCCTGCCAGGGCTGGCTCAGTGTTTATGCCACCCCAAGTGGCGGGGGGGGGGGGAAGGTGCGATCGGTGGCACTTCGGCGGCAACTCTTCCACCGCCGCTTCATTCTTCAGCAGCAATTCGGCGGCAGGTCCTTCCCTCCGAGAGGACAGAGGGACCCGCCGCCGAATTGCCGGACGTGCTGCCCCTTTCCGTTGGCCGCCCCAAGCACCTGCTTGCTGCGCTCGTGCCTGGAGCCGGCCCTGCTTCCTGCATGGCACAAGCCATAGAACTTCTCCAAAATAATTCCTAAAGCAGATCTTTTAGCAAAACATCCAATCTTGATTTTAAAATAGGCAGTGATGGAAAATCCACCATGACCCTTGTTAAATTGTTCTAATGGTTAATTACCCTCACCCTTAAAAAATTTACACCGTATTTCCCATTGGAATAGCTTCAACTTAGCCATTCGACCTTTCTCCACCAGACTGAAGAGCCCATTATTAAATATTTGTTTCTGCTGTAGGTTCTTATAGATAATCAAGTCACCCCTTCACCTCCTCTTTCTTAAGATAAATAGATTGAGCTCCTTGAGTCCGTAAGGCATGTTTTCTAGTCCTTAAATCAGTCTCATGGCTCTTCTCTGAACCCTCTCCAATTTTCAACCTCCTTCTTTAATTATGGGATCAGAACTGGATGCAGTACTCCAGCAGCAGTCTCAATATAGAGATAAAAGCCCTCAAATCTGGCTCAAGATTGCTCTATTTATGCATCCCAGGATCGCTTTCACTCTTTTGGCCCCCAGCGTCACACTAGGAGCTCATCTTCAGCTGATTACCCACCATGACCCCCAAATCTTTTTCAGAGTCACTGCTTCCCTGGATAGAGTTCCCTATCCTGTAAGTATGACCTATATTCTTTGTTCCTGGATGTACACATTTACATTTAACTGTACTGTATTAAAACACACATAAATGTGTACATCTAGGAACAAATGGGGGCAAGGGATAGCTCAGTGGTTTGAGCATTGGCCTGCTAAACCCAGGGTTGTGAGTTCAATCCTTGAAGGGGCCATTTAGGGATCTCGGGCAAAAATCTGTCTGGGGATTGGCCCTGCTTTGAGCAGGGGGTTGGACTAGATGACCTCCTGAGGTCCCTTCCAACCCTGATATTCTATGAAATGCTGTTTTCAGTTTGCTTTGAAAGCCTTTAGGACAGCACAGAGATTTATTCGGTGCTCTTTGCTTGTCCTGTCAAATCCCAAAAGACTCAAGACTCTTAGTATTCTAGGTGGATTTTGTAAACCTTTCTGGTGGCCTGCCAAGACTGAGGTATCCACAGGAAGCACATGGGAAGAAATTACCCCTTCCTCCCAGTTTATCTAGCTAATTGGCTTTGCGTGGTGAAATGTACAGAAGTTGGGGAGCGGAATACACTCCCAAACTGTGGGCAGGGCATGGGGGAAGCTCTGCAGTTCCTGCACAGCCACTGTTCAAGTTCCTGGGCTTAGAATAAGAGCTGCAACCCCTACACGTACTCGGTGACCACATAGACATCCTGATGACCCTTCTCCGGTCTGTGCTGATCTACAAATACTGAAATGAGTTGGTGGATTCAGTCCTGTTTGTTGTGTCCTGGGGTCCGTATCACAAAATTCCCTGTTGCTATTGGCACTAATGGGCCATCTCCGCAGCAGAGACCAAGCGCTGATTGGGCATGGAGACCAAACGACATTGTAGTATAGCAGTGAATCTTACTGGTGGGGCAGTGTGGGGAGCTCTTGCTGCTGTTGTCAGTTCTGTCCCGGGTCTGTCGGTGTAAAGGGCTGTCAATTCACTTTCATGAAATTGACTTCTAACAGCAGAATGTTTTAAAAGACATAAATGCAGGCACTCTAAATGCACAGGGTAAAGCCAGGGATTTGGCCTGCCTTATGTGTTCTTCTCTGGGAATGTTTCAGGTCCGACAGGGGAATGGATTGAAGAACTGACAGAAAAGCCCCAGCACGTGAGTGTGACTGTGCTAAGTTCTACCACTGCCTTAATGTCCTGGACGTCTTCACGAGACAGCAGCAGCAACAACACGATAGTGTCTGTTGTGTCACTGACCTGCCAGAAGCAAAAGGAGAGTCAAAGACTTGAAAAGCATTATTGCACCGAGGTAAGGGGCAGAAAATATAGACTCCTCAAATGCAGTAAGAAAAAGAAATACATTCAGTAAATCGCCTTATAATAGTGCTCACTGGGTTGTGTAAGAAGCAACATTTTATCCATCAGTCCACAAGCGATGTTATACACTTATGAACATTATTGCGACAATAATCCAAAACACTGCAGTGACACAAGTCTAAGCAGAGATAAGACACCATCCATAAGGCCCTGATTCATTAAAACACTTTAAGCATGTGCTGAAGTCCATTCCTATTCATGAAAGCATTTCAATGTATATTTAACTTTAAGCACATGCATAAGTTTTTTCTTAAACTGGGGCTAAAGTTTTCATGTAGAATAATATCTAGCTCTGAATGTCCCCAAAGTTGAGGATGATGGGATCTGAGGTTTCAATTCAGGCCATTGTAGTGACAGGTCTGAGTAAAGGGTGCAAGTACAAATAATCCAAACTGCCCGTGTTCTAGCTGCATCCCAGCCAATACGAATTCAGACTTCTGTGGGTTCAGGTCCACCAGAAGTGGTTTATGATGTGATGACAAAAAACCTTGAGGTAGACTAGAGGAAGAAGTTCTGGTTTGGGTTAATTTAACTTTGTGGTTAGAATGTGGGCCTGAATTACAGCTTCATGAGCACTGCAAAAATGTATTCATAACCATTTATTTGAATAAAAACTGAGAATTTGCTTGGAAAGTATTTGTATTGCTTTTTAAACTATTTTCATTGAACATTTGCCCACCTCTAACCAGAACTCAGCCAGGTTCTTCTGCCTCTATTATTGATGGCCATTTGTTTGAATTCTCCCTGGCAAGCAGAAAGAAGTAAGACCTGGTACACAGTTCATCCATTCCTTCTCCCGTTGCCTATAAATAAAAGGTATCCTACCTTCCTAAAGGAGCTCCCTAGATTGACAGTTGCACTACCATCTCCACTGTCATAAAACATTGTTCACGCTGACAGCTGCTTGAACAATTTCATGCTGGTAATACAAATTGTTAGAAATTGTGCTAAGATTGTTGGTGAAAAAACATCTTTCCCCCATTCACTGAAAAGATGCAGTAAAAGATACTTTTCCCAAGGCTGCTCTGTACATTTACTGGATCAGACTGAATCCACCATCTAGACAGCATCCTGCCTCTGGCACTGGCCAGTATCTGATGCTTCAGAGCTGAGGCTTTTATGCTGATGCTTCAGTACCAGATGCTTCAAAATGGGGGGGGGGAGGAATCCATAAGCCCCCTAGCTAATTTGTACAGTGCTGTACTTGAGGGGCTGGAGAGGGCAATTCCTTTCTGATCCATGCAATCAACTGATTCCCTGACTCTCATGAGGTTAGAATACTATTATAATATTGCCTTTAGCTCACATAGCTGCAGATGAATTAGATGGCCACAAAGTAATTTCAGATGTTTATTGAAACCACAGTATGTAAACACAGAGTTACACCTGAGAGGAATCTGGTGCTCTAGTCTCATTACCATACAATATACTCAATGTAAATGGCTCCTTGTTGTCATGACTGACCTTGTACTGCAGTAATAAAGAGTGTTACATTCTCTGGGTCAAATCGTGAGTGAGCTCAATGGGCTGAGCAGTCGCAATTCCCATCTCAGCATTTGACTATCCTGTTCTCACTGAAATGAATCAACATTTTGCCATTGACTTCAGTAGGTTCAGAATTATGTCCTTTGCCGCTGAAATGCAGCTAGGTGAGTACTATTTCAGCCCTCCTTTTTTTCTTTCTTACTCACCAAAGGAATACTTTGTATCTTATTTGTTCCCCTTCTGATAGGTGAATTCAAGCAACAGCATCATTGAAAATCTTGTTCCCGGTGCCCAGTACCAGGTTGTGATTTATTTACGTAAAGGCCCATTGGTTGGACCTCCTTCTGATCCTGTTACATTTGCCATTGGTAACCCATGCGTCTACTATTCAAACTGACTTTTTGTTTTGAACAGCTTATCTATTAGATCTCTTAGGGTGCTCCTCCACTGGAGCAGGAGATGTAATTTCTAGTTCGGGTAGACATACCCACACTAGTTCTTGTCAAGCTAGCATGCTGAAAATACCAGTGTGGCTGCGACTGCACAGGCGACAGGACAGACTAGTCACTCCAGATGGGATTGTACTTGGGACGGTTAGCCCAACACACCACCTGTGCACCAGGGTTGCACTGCTATTTTTAGCGTGCTAGCTTGATCCAAGCTAGCACAGGTACATCTACCCCAGTTTGAAGTTACACCTTCAGCCCCAGTATAGACATATCCAGAGCCTGTTCAGAAGTGTAGCATGTTTTGCTGGGTATGCTTGCCATGTTGGTGGTTAAAATAGTTTATTTTTCATGTGTTTAACTCCATTACTGAGGATGGGAAGAAGTGCAGGAGGTATCTGAAGGTGTCTTCAGTGAAAAGAGTGACACAGCCTATTAGAGGGTTAGGCTTTCACTCCAACATACAAGGAGTTATGTCTAAGATTTAGAAATGAGGGAGCTGAAGTTAGGGACCTATATTTATCCTTAAGCACCTAAATAAATAGTGTCGCTTTTAGAGGTGCGGAGCATCCATGAGAGTTGGTGTCTTCAGTAGGAGCTGAGAGTAGTTCAGCACCTTGGAAATTAAGCCATTAATTTGTACATGGATTTAGGAACCTAACTTTAAGCTACCAGGTTTTCTGAGAAAATGCCCCTTGAGGGATACAGTGTGCCACCGTGGCTAAGACACTGGACTGAGATTCAGGAGATCTGTTTTTTTTCCTGGTTCTGTCACTGGCTTGTCGTATGCCTTGTAAGAGAGCAGGTGACTAGAAAGTAGGGCTTCTTGTTTCTTCTCCAAACTACTACGCACTGTCCTTGATGGAAGGAAAAAAGAGAAAATGACAAAATTAACTAAATAAGACCTGCCCAGAGCCCATGTACTCCAAGCAGTCTGCTTACACTCTGCCAATTGCAGGATCTGGGTCTAAGGCAATATGTCCAAATAAATAGTCTATACATTGGTGAGGAAGGTATTTTTAATGGGGGGGGGGTAGTTTGGGGAGGCCATTAGAGACAGCTTGTGCCCAACTTCTATGAAATATCAAATATTGGGCATATTTTACAAATTTCCCATGTTTTTCACAAATATTTGGGCTGCCAAAGTTTTGTTCACCAGCTGTAAAGACTTGAAACATTTTCAAATTTCTGCTTTTATTTGAAAAGCTAAACTTAAAAAAAAAAAAAAAAAAAAAAAAGGTAAACCTCTCTAAGTTTCCCATAACCCAAAAGTTCTTGCCCAAAGGCCATTTCTAGGCATATCTTCTAATCTGGATTTTGTAACAAAATTAAGGGTGTCGTGGAATCAAACAACAATGTGTGACACATTCAAACAAGGGCAAATTCATAATTCAAATTCCTACTTAAAAGGTTTGGTTTGGTGAAATTATTGGTGGTGGTTAAGGCTAAAGCAAAAATAAGAGAAATAACACTTACAAAAAGTAGTTCTCCTCTTCATCCTCAATGTCATAGTTTCATTAGAAAGGTATCAACAGATTCTGAGAAGGTGCTGAAAGGATAGATTTATGAGGGAATGGATGATTTTGTGCACTGTTATACATTTGGACATTCTGGGTTTTATTCTTTGCTCTGGCACCTACACAGAGTGGATTAAACTCTGCAACCTTTACTCATGCTGAGGAATACCTACTTAAGCAGGTAGTCCCATTGAAGTACACATCTGAGTAAGTGCTTTCCAGCATGAATAAAGGTTGCAGAGTCTGGCTGTGTGAGAGATTTGTTCAAATCACTTGACCTCTCTCTATTTCAATTTCACCGTCTATAAAACAGGGATAATAACACTTGCATTCTGAGTCTTAACTAATGCTTGTAAAGCACTTTCGGATATTTCCCATGGACGGTTGAATAGACGTGAAAGTATTCTTTATTATTGTCTACGCTTTCACAAGTATCATGATTTTTAATGCCTCCGTTTTTGACTACCTACATTGAGACACCTTAAAGGATCCTGATTTTCAAAAAAGGTCTGAGCATCCTCCTTTGAAAATCAGATCTCTTCAAGACATCTCAAGTTGAGCACCCCAAAATGGAAGAACCCAAAATCTGGAGTCATTTTTGAAAGTTTAGGCCTATAAGAATCGAGGGACCAATGCTACAAGTTGTTACTTCTGTGTGGCGTCCCAACCAAGCTGTTAGGCATATGCGTGGGAGTAATTATTGCCAGAATGGACCAAAAATATGAATAGCTGGTTAAAGGGGAGAGAAAACTAGTTGTGAAAATGTGTGTAGTTGCTAATGACGATGTGAATAACCCCCGTTTCTTGTTTTATAGTACCCACTGGAATAAAGGATTTGATGCTTTACCCTTTGGGACCTACAGCTGTGATTCTCAGTTGGAACAGGCCTTACCTTGGGGTGTTCAGGAAATATATTGTAGAAATGTTTTACTTCAACCCATCAACGATGACCTCTGAGTGGACGACCTACTATGAAATTGCAGCTACTGTCTCCTTAACTGCATCAGTGGTAAAGTAACCATTACAGATTATCACCCACACCTGCATGTATGGTGCTTGCTCCTGGTAATGTTTCTTTCAGATTTTGCCCACTGACCAGCAGACACACCAGATTCCATTAAACCCTGGACGTTTTCCACATGCGATAGAGAGATTTACCGTGATATTAGAGAGAGATTTTCCCCAGGGAATGCCAGAAAACCATGGTAAAGTTAATGCATGTGCAAATTATTAATTGTATACCTAGTAAGGGGATAGTAGATGGGCCTTCCCTCCATTGGAATGTGGGTGGGTTCAGTGGCTATATATGGCACTGTAGCCCATGGGTGTTTGGTGTTCCAAGACTTCAGGGCAGATTCCTTCACAGCCTCAGTCCTTGCAGGACTTCCCTGTGCAAAGTTCATTTGCTAGGGCTGTGTTCAAGGTGAGAGGACTTGACCCAACAGAATTAAAACGTTAACCTCTCCCCACTGAATTTACTGTGCACTTCCACAGTTGTGTGGTCAAAAACTTTTGCAACTGTAGCATCTCCATGAGGAAATAGCATAAAGCTCCATCTACATAGCTAGCATTGATAATGTCAGTGAGCCATCTGGAATATTTTGTTTTTGAGTTATGTGCATGCCAAAAGAGACTTAAAGGCCCTGAACCTGCAAATGTGCTTAAGCATATGCACAAAGCTTTGCAAGATTGAGGACTTTCAGCAGAAGTGTACACTTCGTTCCCCCCCCCCCCTCCCCACACACACACACTTTTCTAGCTGTCAAGAGGGGATGGATAAATTTTGTTAAAACTTTACCTTTGGGCTGAGAAAAACCATAGACAATTTCAGCTGAAAAGGATAATTATTCAGGAAGTTGAGTTTGAAAAAAACAAGGATAGCGATAGCTGTTGCTCCTATTGAAAACTATAATCATTTGTGACTCATGCAGAACACCATTCATGTAGTCATTGTAGTAACACGGGTTTAATTGGAATTGAGCATGCACCTCTAAATTTAAAATGTAAAACTCTAAGGAAATGAGAAGGCAACATAAACTACTAAATGAGTAATTAATTTGTCATTATCATGATGCAGCAGAATTCGAGTAAAACCCAAGAGATCTTAGAAATAATGACATTTAATATGAAGTTCAAAAGTTAAGATGGTTGACAAGTAATATTGTCCACTGTTTTGTGCAATTCTAGTTGATATTGATGGGAGGTACATGCAGAGACCAGAGGAGTTAGAGCTCCTTTATCTCAATTTAAATCTTTGCATGGAAGGATTAGATTTTTATTGGTAAATGTCGATTTCACCAAACACACACACAATGATGAAAAAATATTTCCATCAACGATAATTTAAATTTACAGATAGGCAAAGTAAGAAGAATGCTACTTAAGAACTTATTGCTTTGATGTAAGGATATTTATTTTGTATATTTTGATGTGAGATGTTGACAATTGGTGTGTTTTAAAGTTTTAGCTTTTTTAATCTCCATGTCCGCTGTCATTCAATAACTCTCTGACTCCCCATGTAATTTCCCACAACTGTGAAAATTAAAATAGCTAAAATCCTAAAAAATGCTTAAAAATAAACATTGATGTTGTCTGTCAACATTGTAAGAAAATGAAAATTGAATTCTGCCAAGCCTAGCTGTCACTATACTGTTGAAATGAAAGTGAAAGTTTCTTAAAGATGAACTGCAAAATTAAATAATAAATGTTGAATCCCATATCTGACGAGGCTGCATGGCACTATGGTTTAACTAACTTTATAACATTATTTTCAGTCTTTTTAAGTCTTTGGCTTTTGGGGGTTCACTAGAAATGCCCAACAATGCACCATTATAAGACTGCCCCCTGAAGTTTCCCTATAACCATTACCATTCTGGCATCTGTGATATTGCAGAATCGTGCATTCTGGGGCAACACTAACAAACCCTAAAAAAAACATATTGACTTGGCTGAGATCAAAAATGGTTTTATGAAAATGTAGTTAAAAATGTTCTGGGTTGAATTCCCCCCTTGTCTTGAGTATGACAGAAAAACAGAGAATATTTATATTATGAAATTTGAAACAACAAATCAAAACAAGAAGTTCTACTTTTTTAAAATGAAATTTCATTGAAATCAACATGTTCCTATGGAACATCTTGATTTTGCCTAATGAGCATTTTCTAACAGGAAACTTCCATCACAAAACTTTGGACCAGCTCTAGAAATCAATCAGAGTGTGGGGACATGAGCAAATCCCTGCTCCCACATGTTTGTTTGTACACAATATGGTTGCCATGGCTAGGAAATGGTCTCTGTGCATAGCCCATTGCACAAATTAAAGCCTGGATCCTGCAAACACTTACATATATGAATATCTTTACTCAAGAGAATAGCTTCCTTGTGCTCAATGGTGTACTCACTGGAGTAAAGCCACACACATCCTTAGGGCGAGTACAAGATCAGGGTGTAAATGATTCATGGGAATGGAATGTACGAATGGCAGCTGTCTTGCAACAGGATATGGATCCATGCTATTGTAGCTTTTTTTAATGTATTATTGCATTCCTTTCTGGGAGAAAAGAGGGTTAAGAGTAAAATTTCTTTCCAAGCATCTGCCAGAATTTAGCCCTACTTTTTTCTCTCTCTTTGAAAAGAGTTTACAAATCTAAAAGTTCAAAATGGGCTAGATTAACCACGGATTTAAGTGGGCACTGTTCCACTCAAGTCAGCAGCATTGGTACCCATTGTGGCAGCAGTACATCTATTCTATAGCAAGTGGCAGTCATGTTTTACATTGACAAAATCTTTACAGAGCAGTGACTTGCCATTTGCTGTCCCTTTACAGAAAATAGCCAATCTATTGCCCGCTTGGTATTACAACTTTCGGGTTACCATGGTGACTTGGGGAGACCCAGAATTGAGCTGCTGTGACAGTTCTACCATCAGCTACATAACAGGTAAGCAGAAGCATGGCAAGTGGTTGATGGAGAAGTGCAAGGGGAAATGTGAGTTCTGAGGAAACATATCTAAGAAGATTATGGTGGTGTTCACCTGTAAATATTTGTGCAGGGGCATTTTAGAATTTAATTTTAAAGCCTTGTAGGGCAAAATGTGAGGGTTGTTTTGATTCATTACAGACATCATTTCATTGCTGATCTGCCCCATGAGTTTCAGTGATTCTGCTTATACCTTTATGCACCATTAGTTTTGCCCACTTTATTACTGAATTCGTGTAGCTCTATTGTGATGAATGATTGCTGATTGGCTGGAGTTAAGAGAGGGCAGGGGTCAGGAGTTATAAAGACTCAGCTTTGAAAGATTCCGTCTATTCTGGGATCTTGGGTTGACGGGGCCTGCTCTGGCTTTGGAAGACTTAGCCTTTGACTGACATTAGCTTAGAAGCTTGGCTTAGACATAAGCCTGCCCAACCTTGAAAGATTTGCTCCACCCTTGAAAGGCTTTGCTCAGCCTAGGGTGACCAGAGGTCACGATTTTGGGGTCTTTTTCTTATATAGGCTCTATTATCCCCCACCCCCTGTCCTGATTTTTCACACTTGCTGTCTGGTTACCCTAGTTCAGCCTGTGGGCTTCCAGGCTAGAGCAGGCCTCTGCCTAAGCCAAAGACCAAGTTTAGTCAGGAAACATATCAGAGGCCCACACAACTTGCCTATTCAGCCAAGACAAAGGATTGTTCTAACTCTGGATTCCACTTTAGCTGGGAGCTATATTATTATGGACCAGCTAAGGGAGTTTTTGTAAATTTAATGTATTTCAGTTACTTATGGGACCTAAAACTAAACAAAGTATATTTTTATTGTTCCCAAGTCCTTCTTTTTTCTCCCCACCTCTTTCCCCTTCATGGTATCTAAGTCTACACCCCACAGTTCACACACATTAAATTGCTATGTGACATTTATTACAGCATAATTAGTTAACATTCTGTAGGGCTGTTTATTTTAGTGCAAAATGAGGCTGGCCATGTTTTGTGCTATAATTTTTTCACACTCACAGTTGGTCTTTGCTGGCAAGTGTTGCCTCTGTTCATTGCAAGGGGATGGATCGGGGAGGATAGTCTTGGGGTCAAGGCACCGGACTGACACTTGGGAGGCTACCTCTATGACCTTGGGCAAGTCACATAGAGCCAGATCCTCAGATGGCTTCATTGTCTCCCAATGAGACCTTGACTGTGGTTGATGCCCCTTCACACCCCACTCAGATACTTGGGGTTCAGTACTGCAAGATGGTGAGCAACTACTGGAGATGCTGAGCACCATCAACTCCCATTGACAAGGCCATCACCCTTTAGGTAACACTTTCTGGGTTGAAGGCGGAAGTAAACATATACTGCCTTTGGGAACACTATATACCTCCCAGAAATAGGTTTAAAAAGTTGTTCCAGTTTAAAAAAGCCAATGAAATACTGTGGATGGACTTCAACAAGGGTTGTGTAATTTTAGGATGATTAATAATAATTATACAAGCTCAGATAGAGTGTTTGCAGACCAACTGTGCAGCAATACATAATTGGCCAGGTGGATCAAAGATGTATTAAAGGAGAAGGAGGTTGCCTTCCCCAGAGCTTCAGTTAATGACTACTTTTGGAAGCAGGATATGGGAGTGGATGGTCCATTGGTCCATCTATTTCAATATCTTGCTTCCAAAATATTGGAATGGATGGATCAACGCTCACTTGACCTGGGTTCTATTCATGCCTCTGCCACTGACTTGTTCTGTGACAAATCACTTGACCCCCTCAGTGCCTCTCTTTTCTGCTCCCACCCTTATTCTGTCTTGTCTATTTAGATTGTAAGTCTTTCAGTGCAAGGAACATATTTTACTATTTGTGTGTACGTGGTAAAGCATGATGGGGCTCTATCTGTTGGGGCCTCAACATGTTATCACAATACAAATAATTAATAATAAGATACTATTCCTCTGAAACAAAAATTATATTATGGCAGAAGCAAAATTGAATTACTTTGGGGGACTTGCAATACCCTGAGCCAGTACCTGCTACTGTCTCCAACAATGACAAGCATGTTAGTTTGATATTTCTACTAAAAGGATCCGAAGTGAAATAATGTTGTTTGATACTCATCAAACTTCCATTGTTAACACCTCTAAGTTCAATTTAGCAGAAAAATCAAGCTAATGGATTGGATGTAGTGGCAGATATTGAAGGTGGGGAGCAGAGGGCCATCCATAGTGCCAATTGAAAACTGGGGAAATTGGATTTTTGACACACCAAAAATTTTCATGGAAAATGTCTGCTTTCCTTTTGGATGTTTGTCCGAAACCAACGAAATATTTCCTATAGAAAATGTTGATGGCGGGGGGGAATCAGCAAGATTTTTTGCAGAAAGAGAAAATAAATTTCTAACCAGCTCTAATTATCTAGCTGCTGTCAAGTGATGCTGTGGTGGGAAATAAGGAAATGCCTTTTTTCCCCTCCAAAATTTAAAACCACATCAAAATCAACTTTTCACGCAATGAGAAGGGAAGGAAAATATGCATTTTCTCCCCATGACCAAAAAATCTCCATTGCCACCTGGATACTGAAAACAAATCTGATTTCCCCTAGCTTCCTGGATGTAAAAAACCCCAAATGATTCCTACCCCAATACCCAAACCTCTGGCTCTCCCAGACAACTTCTGCAGTGTGCAGTCGTGTGACATTTTGAAATCTGCAAAGCATTCTTCAATGAGAATTTAACATTTGCAGAGTAGTGTAAAATACACTGAAAGCAATGCAAAAATAAATAAATAGCACCAGGAACACATTACTGATTGGATCAGCCTGACAGAGGACAGTGAAGGGACAAGCATGTCGGGAATTCCTGTGCAGTGGAGCCAGAATGCACCAGAACACCGTGTTCTGGAACTTTTGAAAAGTCACGTTGCATGGAAGACACCATTTTACTCTACAAAATTGCATTCTCCATGTGGGCTGACCTCACACATTCAGTGCATGTGAGGTCACACCACATGGAGGATGCCATTTTGTAAAGCAAAATGATGTCCTCTGCACAGTCTGGAGAGCACCATTGTGTAGAGCAAGTGCACCTGTGTAACTGATGGGAAAGCAGTGAATAATTCTGATCCTGCACAAGATCGATTAGAACCCATTTTCTCCTAGCGGCACTAAGAGCAGTAAAAATTTGTCACTAAAATCAGCCCACCTATTTTCCATCCACTCCCGACTGTTCAGGCACTTCTGCTTGGACTGGAGGTTAGGTGGGGGAGTTGTGGAGATGGTGCTGCAGAGGCAGCTCAGTGAGCACCACTTGTAGGGGATCTAATATAGATAGGCCTGATTTAGCTGTCAGACAAAAATAATGACTGAATCCTGGCTGCACTGAAGTCAATGGCAAAATCCCATCCTGAAACATCTGCTCAAACTGCTTTGCGTTCTATTGTCAATGATTTTTTGGGCATATGACTTGTAAAATTAATAGTGACTGCCAGAGTCCTGTGAATACTCTTTGATAACATTTCTCACCCATTTTCTGTGTCAGTGTAATGAAGTCACTTTTTAACCATTTGGTTGCTACATAATATACTCAGCCAAGCATGAGGGAAGAAATATGTCTCTCCGCACCTTTGTTCTGTGCTTCAAGGACAGATTTTAAAGTGCAAGTGCCCTAGTGGGGTCCGGACTCTTCAATATGGTGTTTTCAGAAGATGCAACAAAACTCAGCCGTGGAAGGGCTACTACAAATTTTCATCTGTCATAGGGCTGTGTCCAGCTGTCATTGATGACAAGGAAAAACTGCCAGTGCCTTCAGTGGAGAAATGGATCAAGTTTTTATCTAGTAGACATGGACACAATCTGAAACAAATGAATAAACCTCTTGCATACTCTCTCCCTTGAGTTAGATGCTTTCCAAAATCAAGAACTTTCATAGAGTTCATAGATTCAGAGAGTTTTAAGGCCAGAAGGAATCATTAGATCATCTTGGCCTGTGATTATACAGAAGATCAGACATTGCATTTCATCCAGTTACCCCTGTATTGAGCCCAATGACTCGTGTTAGGCTAAAGCATATCCTCCAGAAAGGCACCCAGTCTTGACCTGAAGACTCCAAGAAATGGAGAATCCACCATTTCCCTTGGTCATTTGTTCCAACAGTTAATCACCCTCACTGTTAAAAATGTGTGCCTTATTTCTCATTTCAATTTGTCTGCATTCAGCTTCCAGGCATTGGTTCTTGTTATGTCTTTCTCCGCTAGATTAAAGAGCTCTTTAGTACCTGCTATTTTCTCCCTTGTACAATGTAATCAAGTCAGCCCTCAATCTTCTTTTTGATAAGCTAAACAGCTCGAGCTCTTTACGTCTCTCACTTAATGCATTTTCTCCAGCCCTCACATCGTTTTTGTGGCTCTTTTCTGTACACTCCCTTTTCAATTTTTCAACGTCCTTTTAAAATGTATTCCAGAATCAATATTCCAACATGAGTCTCACCAATGCCATATACAGAGGTAAAATCATTCCCTACTTCCTACTCCCCTATGTATACAATCAAGAATTGTATTAGTCCTTTTTGTCACAGCATGACACTGGGAACACGTCTTGAGTTGTTTGTACACCGTGGACCCCAAGATCCATTTCAGAGCTATAGCTTTCCAGGATACCCTGTGCCATAGGTATGTACGGCCTGCATTCATGCTCCTAGATATATAACTTTGCATTTGGCTATATTAAACGTCATTTTGTTTGAGTGGGCCCAGTTTACCAAGCAATCCAGATCACTCTGTCTGACTGCCCTGTTTTCATCATTATTTAATGCTCTGCCAGTATTTGTGTCATCTGCAAATTTTGTCAGCAGTGATTGTATATTTACTTTCAAATCATTGATGAAAATGTTGAATGGGGTTGGGCTTAGTACTGATCTCTGCAGAGCCCCATTAGAAACTCCCCCATTCAGTGATGATTTCCCCATTGACAGCTACATTTGGAAATGTCAGTTAATCCATTTAATGTGTGATTTAATGATACTGTATAGTGCTAATTTTTAATCAGAATGTCACGTGGTACTAAGTCAAATGCCTTTACAAAAGTCTGTGTGTTGTATCTATACAGTTACCTTTATTAACCAAACCTGAAATCTCATACAAAAATTGAAATCAGATTTGTTCGACAAGACCTATTTTCCATAAAACCATGTTGACTGACATTAATTATATTCCTATCCTTTAATTCTTAATTAATTTGAATCCCATGTTATCTTTTCCATTATTTTGCCCAGGATTGATGTCAGGCTAACAGGTCTGTAATTACCCAGTCATCCTGCTTGCCCTTTTTGAATATTGGCACAACATTAGCACTCTTCTGGAATTTCCTTGGTATTCCAAGATTTATTAAAAATTCACATCAGTGGGCCATAGATCTTCTCAGCCAACTCTTTTTAGGACTCTTGGGTGCAAGTTATACGGGTCTGATGCTTTAAAAATGTTTATTCCTAGTAGATGCAGTTTAATATCCTCCTTAGTTACAAATGAACTAGAAAGCACTTCCTCCTCCTCCTGTGATATGAATACATTATCCTGCTTCTTTCCAAATAAAGAACAGAAATATTTATTGAACACTTTTGCCTTTCCTGTATCCTTATTAACAATATTACTTGCTCTGCACAGTTTGAGCCTGATGTTCTAAAGAAAAAGCCTCTCCTTTTCTGCTTTTCCTGCTGTTACAACCAAACTTGTGTGCTTCTCTGATTGCTGAGAGGCTAAACCTTGTAGCCTGGAAATCTCAACATACCATTTACACCAAAACACAAAGATAATCACAGGTTTTGGGCCCAGATCCTGCAACAGGCTCCATGCAGACAGTGCCGCATCTATGTGGACCCCAATTGAAATTAATGCCTGCATGGAGCTCATTGCAGGATTGCTGTTTAAGTGATCTACTGCAGCTGGAATGTAAAAAGAATACAACATGACTAGATGACATAGATCTTTCCAGCAACCTCTGGTCTGAAGTCCCCTGTTGGAGAGGACAAGTTGTAAGGCTTCAAGAATGTATATAAGTAAATGCACCACTTATAACCCCCCTCATTCAGCACCCCAGGCACCTGCAGCAACTGTGATACCCTGCTGTATTTACTATATGCGACATTGTGACACCACAAACACTGCAAAGTAGGGAACTAATGAGGTTTTAATGGCACCTGCTATAAACAGTGGGATTTAAAAATACAAACAAAAACATTCATATTAAAATATAAAGCTGTTTATCTAGCTGGAGGACAGAATGCACTTTGAAGCTAGTTAGTAATAAATATCATGATAAAGTGCAGCATGTATAGGTCTAAGATGGTTGGACCACCATGTGTTTGAGTATAGTCATGTCTGTTCTTATTTAGAAGTTGTCCTTTGTTCCTTCATATGGATGCTTGTAGTTTCCATTTCCTCTCTTTCTTGTGTGTTTATTTTTTACATATCTTGCTTCCTCTTCATTATAAATCTGTTAACATTTTGAATGCACACAAAAAAAGAAACAAATGATCTTGTCCATGCTGAGAGAGAACTAGGAGAGAATTATTACCATTATTATTCATTTATTTCATTTCAATAATGCACTCAGATTGCTCATTACACAAGTAGAGACAGTTCCTCCCTAGGAAAGCTTGTACTCAGACAGATAGACATAAAAATAGGATGCACTGGGCAATCCAGAGTGGGGGGATGTCTTAAATTCATTTGTTGTGGGCATCATGGAAGAAGTGGGTTTCGAGAGGGACTTGTTAGAAGTGCTATAATAAATACTATTAAAATTGCTTAAAATTGTGTTTGCTACCATCCTAAATTTCCACTTCAAAAACCTTTGTCCTCCTCTTAGAGTCAAAAGTTCAAATGCAAGATAAAATGTATATGCTCAGCTACGTTTGTGACAGCAACAGTGACATCCTGTGGCCACTTAAAAAATAGTCTAGATTCTGATTCTCCACAGCCTTGTGCCTTGTGTAGACATTCACACCTATATGAAATGAGTGTAAAAAGCACTGTATCAGAATGGTAGTGTGTTAAACTCACTCTGAACTCCCTTTGCATGGGTCTAAATGGCTTTACAAAGTGCAAGAACTCGGTTTTTTCATCATGTAGTTCCCAAAAAATATACTATGCACGCTGAATAATATGCTACTCTGTTGTACCCACACAATGTCATTGAAGTCACTGTGGGCTCAGTTGTGGTTTTAAGGCATCATTGGAGTTCACCTCACTGCCTCTACTCCACTTAATTTTCCCATAAAGTTTATTTTGAGGACTTAAGTGATGCACAGGCTTTGTGCTGGCCTTTTGCGTGGGAATAGAGTTGGTCAACATTTTTGTGCAGAAAGTTGTCCTATTGAAAATGGGGGGGGGGTTGTTTTTTTCAAAACTAAAGTTGTTTTTGTTTTGCAGGCAAATGGCAATTTTGATTTAAAAAAAAATCAGTTTTCCCACAGGAAATTTCAAAGTGAAAATTTCTGTTTCTAATCAACATTTCTTAACAAACCGAGCAGTTTTGTTCTGACTTTAAAGGTGGCTTTTGTTTGCAGAAACTGAAATGAAATGGCTTTAAGTAGAAAACTAGATTCTAAAGGAAAATTTTCATTTATTTTTCACTTAAAATGTCATTTCATTTCCGTTTTTTTTTAAAGAAGTTGAAAAGTTTTAAGTTTAAACTAAATGTTTAGGTTCATTTTTAAATGTGGAGTTGAAATAAAGCTTGTGTTTCAAATTGGTTTGAAACTTCCAACATTTTTCAACTGAGAGATTTTTAATTAAGACTTCTTATGTGGAAACTTTTCAGTTTTCCAACCAACTATACCTGCAAGCAATGCAGAGCTAGTGCAATTATAGGTGCTAGTCTTATTTATACATGTCTAATTTTTGTTGTTAAGCTCTTTCTCCCAATAAAATCCCTTTGGCAGTGAGTAGCCAAGGTTAATTTTTGGACTTAATTATATATTAAGTTAGATCTTGTTTGTAACATCTTTTTCTTCTTCTCCCCAGCCCCAGTGTCACCAGAGATCACCTCAGTAGAATATTTCAACAATCTGCTGTATGTCAGTTGGACATATGGAGATGATGGGACCAACCTGTCTCATTCCAGGATGCTGCACTGGATGGTCATTGCTGAAGGCAAGAAAAAAATCAAAAAGAGCGTAAGTCTTAATAGGATTTTTAAAGCTTCATGATTGCGCATTTGTTCTTTCTAATGTTTTAAAAAAAAGTTGTCATGTTCAATACACAAACTTCATATTACAAACTATGGTCAGGTCGATTAAGCTTCCGCAAATCCTAGTGGGTTAAATGTACCCCTTTGCAGAGAGCCAGTATAAGGGCGATGCACCCTTTAACCCATTTAAGACTTCAAAATAAAGTAGTTCTTGGGTTTTTTTTTTTAAAGAAAGAATGAGTTTCCCGTCAGTTATATCAATTTCAGGAGAACTTGTCTGTTCTTCTATGGGAATTGTGGGAAGGACATTGGAGGACTATCCACACTTAAATGATTTAGCCTGCATCCTCACTGCAAAGTGGGCAGGTTCCAGCCTGAGTTAAACCAGCGCTGAGGCATATCCCAGCTGGATCAGCTAGCCTAGGCTTTCAGCATTTCCAAACCCAAGTCAGAGATGTTTGCGTGTGGAGAGTGGTGGTGGTGGAGATTGGGTTTGAACTTGGGTAGGACCCTGGGTTAACTGAGCAGTGAAGACATACCTTAGGTGGGACTTGAGTAGTGCATAGACTTTGTTCTGGCTCTCGGAACAGGGGTAAATCTCACCCAACATAATGGATTTGTTTCATGATTTAAAAATAAAATATTTCCCTTCCGTTTTTGCTACCCCAGACTAGAAGCATTGAGATCGATCATGAGAATTAGTAAGTGAAACAACCATTCGGTGTCTGATATGTTGAGGTGCTGAGCACCTATTATACCCATAAAATGAATTGGGAATTGTGGCTGACTAGCACCTTGTATGATCTACTCTTGCAAATAGAAAGCTACTCCAAGCAGGCTCATTTTAATGTGCACAACGGAAACCAATAACACCAAATGTGGTAAAATTAAGTGAGAATTTAAAAATGTAACCACAGTTTTAATAATATAAAGTGCTATCAGTAAAACAAGTAATATTTCTTAAAATAAATGAATTATATGATTTCTGACCTGACATGTTCCTTCAATTTTTAATTACTAGTGACTTAACCCAAAAACATGCCTGTGTTTCCTTTTTAGTTGCAGGCAATATAATTTACATATTCTTTCTCCAGGTGGTTATGATTACACAATTGGTTGAGGATGGGTACTATCATGAGGTTTCTGATGTGCATTGCTTGTAGCTGGGGTAGAAATGCGATGGGAACAACCTTTCTGATGGCATGTCATCAACTCTGCTTCCGGTTTCAGTGGCAACTGGGAAATGGGAGAGGTGCTTGGACATTAAAAATAATAGAGCAATAGTTATTCACACTCTTTTTGAACCTCAAAGCACATTCAGCTCCAGGTTCAATTTGAATTCTGGGCATGGCTCAAGTCAGTTCTTCCTATGGCCTAAGCCTGCAATCCACTCTCCGCATGTAGACCTATGCGGAGTCTCAGTGAAGTCAGCAGGGTTCCAAATGGGTGCAAGGATCCTCCCATGCAAATCTAGAGGCATGATCTTGGGTTATAGCTGTACAGGCTCACCCATCCCTAACTTTTATATTATTCCTAGAGATTCCAAACTGATTTTCAAATACCCAAAGTTCCAGGGTGCTCTGATCTGTGGTTTGGTTAGAGTTATTCAAAAGTTTGATGTAACTTGCAAAATCCAGATTTAAAAAGTCCCCTCAAAGTTGTTTTTTAAAAATCTTTCACTAGCTGTGTTTGTTTCAACCAATAGGAAATATACTGTAAAATTTACTTCTCTCTGCACTGTGACATTCTATTGAACTTGTGTCTTGCATCCATCAATGTCATTGGGAATTAGAACATATAACGAGTGCAGAGTATGCAGAAGTGATTTATACTGATGATTAGAAGTTTGTCCAGAGTGCATTAAGTGCTTGATTTATTTCTTCAAACAGGCTCTCTTATTTGTATAATATTTAATACTTGGTACCAATGATCATTGTAGGTGACACGGAATGTGATGACTGCAGTTCTGAGCCTGCCTCCGGGAGACATCTACAACCTTTCAGTGACTGCTTGTACTGAGAGAGGCAGCAACACCTCCACACCACAGATTGTGAAACTGGGTGAGAATGTGTTTGTTTGCCTGGTTAATTGTATGTAGTTTCCCTCTCTTGGCTATTAGGGCAGATTCAATACTTTCCTTAGCTCAAAAGTATAGGCACATACCTCGCTCTTTTTATTTAATAAGGGCTATAATATACTCACCTTGATTGGTATGCTGAGAGTAGTCCCATTCACTTCAGTGGGACTACTCTCCAAACAAGGGTCTACTCAAGGTGATTAGGAGAGGCAGTATCTCACCCGAAGAGGCAGTAAGTAGAGCCTATCCAGAACAACATGAGAGAGCACTATTGTCCCATAATTGTTCCCCTGTAATTGGTCCAAACACACCCGGACTTTGGAGTGAGAACCCAAGCTTTGCAGCTGACCTCTGTTGGTCCAGACCAGAACCTTTCAAACTTTTGAAAAGTTCCCTTCTGGATCTGAACTCTGTGGCTTGGACTGGTTCCAAATCTCTCCCCCCCCCCCCACACACACACACAAAAAGATGACAAATGTTTTCTCACTTGAAGAGCCGCACTGTAATTTTTACAAGAGCAATAAATCCATTGAAGTGAAATCTTGCATCATTTACCTGTGTGTCTGTAACATATACATCAAATAAACAAGTAAAATGTGTCTTGACTGGAGGGACTTCCCAGGACAGTTCATTCTCCCACTGTCCTCCTTTACTACTGATATCTTGAGGAGTAGGGCGAGGATAAGGTAATGGAGGCTATCTCTGCATCTTCTAATATTGCTACCCTGCTGCTGCTCTGGAAACTTTGAATCCCAGAAGTGCCTTGAACTGTAGCTTGTGAAATCTTGGGGTTTGTCTAATTACTGGTGTTGGCACAAATCCCACTATGAAGGTGGGGGAGATAGGGTTGGTAACGTGAGACTGGATTATCCCCCAAGGGTCTATGCAAAATGGAGCTCTCTATGAACTAAAGTGTGAGGAACAGCCATAGATGGACCTTGTCAATGGCAATAGCAATCCTGCTTAGTTGGATGGGACGCGTGAGAATAACTGTTTTTGCAGAAGGGAGCTCCCTTCCACATAGATCCCTGAAATGCGTTGATGTTGGGAGGCAGTGCGGCCTCCACAATCTGTGATTCCCCCAGGCTCTCCCACTGGATGGAATGTTTCATTCTGTGGAGTTTTCCTTCCCCACACCAGTCCTATCCCATAGGCATTTCCACAAAAATGTATGTGTGGGTGTTAATCTGGCTCCTGAATACCAATAGCCAGGTGTTTTCTGAATGGTATTTGGAAATATTTGACTCCTTCAAGTAGCATCATCATTTACATGATTCAGAAAATGGAACATATTATTTATATTGCACGTCCCTGTAACCATTCTTTGACAAAAAAGACTATTATTTCTGGCTTGCTGATGGAGGGGGAAATATTCTGTTAGGGCTGGTTAATATGGAAGATTTTGGGTGTTCTGCCCTAGTTCTTCTGTTTGATATTTAAGAGAAAACACAACAAATACAGTTTAGATAAATCACTTCTAGACTCCACCACTCTTTATTTCATGCCTTTAACATTTTAGTTTTGCACAAAGAACAGTAAAGGCGGTTTACCTTGGCAAAGGTCAGTCCTACAGTCTCTCCTTGGTGTTTTTGAGGGAGCCAGAGAGATCTGGGATTAGAAATCCTGTGAATCTGTTCCAAGTGGTAGATTACTCCGCATTGGGCAGCTGTGATGAACTACTCCTGCCAAATGTGGTGGTATCATATTCTTCCATGCTTCATCTGGGAACTTTCCATTTGCAGAAAAATTAATCCATTTGCTTGGGCATAGGAAGGATTTATTTCAGATAATGTCCAGGTGTGAGGTTGTCACACTTTAATATAGGCTATTCTTTATCTGTGCTAGAGGAAGAAGAGGTAGTTTTGTGCCTAAAGCACAGGACTGATTCTCAGAAGATCAGACTCTTCTCCAAAATGTCTGAGACACCTTAAGTGGGTCATTTTCAAAAGTAGCCTTTATTTTGGGTGCCTCATGTTTGGGGTGCCAAACTTTAGACAGCTACGGTGAAATTCTGCTCCATCAAACTCAATGGCAACGCTCCTACAGAATTCAGTGGGACGAGGTTTTCAACCCTAGATTGTCTTGACTCCAAATGAAGTCTATGGGACATGCTCAGCATCCCTGAAAATTGACCCAAAGGTTATGTTTATACTGCTATAAAAAAAAAGTGGCACCGAGTCGCAGAGCCCAGGTCAGCGACTTGGGCTTACACGGCTAAAACTGCAGTGTAGACATTTGGGTTCAGACTGGAGCCCGGGCTCGGAGATCCATTCCCCGCACAGGTGCTCAGAGGCCAGGCTCCAGCCTGAGCCTGAACATCTGCACTGCTGCTTTATAGCCCCACAATCAGCTGCAGGCCAGCTGTGTCCATGCTGCGGGTCTTTTATTGTAGTGTAGACATACCCTAAGTGTTTAAAATTAGACACGCAACACATAGGAGGTGCTCAAAATTAAAGGCTTTTGGTAATTTGTACCTAAATCGGTGTTTCAGGTTCTTCATATGGACCTGGGAATAATACATACTTTACTTCACAGGGGTGTAGTGAGGCCTAATTCATTAATGTCTGTACTGCACACTGCTATCCAGGAGTTCATTAAAAGTCCAAAATATTATTAATCCCTGGATCCCAGGGGCACTAAAATTGAAAGTGTGTGTGTGCACGCACACACACACACACACGCGCGCTCTCGCAGGCAGCCTTCACAGAAGTCCGCATTTAAAAAAAACAACAACAAACAAAGTCCCAGCACAAAACAACTTCCATTTTTATATTGCCTCCTTATCCTGAATGACCCCAAATCACTTTGCACCTCAACATGCAGACTGGGCAAGAGTCACTGATACCACTTCGTCTGCTCTTGCCCTGTCAAAGCAACACAAAGCAAACCATAGACTTGGAGCATCTGTTTGGCTGCACTGGGTTTATAGATATTTAGGGCCAGATTTTTAAAGGTATTTAGGTGCCTAATTCCCATTGAAATCAATAAGAATTGGGTGCTGAAAATACCTTTTAAAAATCTGGACCCTCGTTTCTTGGGAGCAGTGCAAAGCAGCTGAGCATACCAATGAATACAGCCCACTGTATATAGGGGATCACTTCCCTCCAACACCAAAACAGCACAGATGGAGAGACGCACGAATTTCCCCATATTTCAAGGGTGATTAGCTTTTGGTTCGGTTTGACCCTGCAAGCTGGAACAAATGAAAAGGAAAAGAGAAAAAGTTTCATTCAGCAACATCTTTTTCTCAAGGACTCTTGCCTGTAATTAAAAAATAAAACCGCATAATCAAAAAGTAAACAGAAACACTCCCCAGTCCTTTCTCGCAACTGACTGTGAAGCCTAGCCATCCTAAAGACCTTCTTCCCACCTTGCTTCCCAAATAGCCACTCTTAAAACCTTCCTCTCAGCAAAGAGACTGGGAGATGAGCTGGAGCAAACCCAGTGTTCACTATGGACCATGTGGTTCTCCTGCACTCTGCACACGAGCTGCTTATCACAGAGATAGGGACCAGCTGTACAAAGTGGATCTGGTTTTAGTACATCTCCAATTAATGTAGCCAGATTCCCTTTTAGTGTTTCTAACCAAACCAGCCTGAACCTCAGCGAGTGTATGGGCACTGATGTATATGTTGAAGCCCAAATTCTCTACTGTGTTGCACTAGATGTGATCATTTACACTTATGTAAAGTGAACATAAGGCACTGCCAGCTCAAAATGGCTATGTTTTTACTCTCACTTTGCTATAAGTGATTACACAAAGCAGGGGAGAATTAGGCCCCCAGTTTAAAGATCTTAGGTAGGTCACACATGCAGGGGATTTTTCAGAGGGTCTCCTGTGGGTGCTCTGCAGATCACTAACTCTCTGGTTTTGAGCACTCAAAGTTAAGTTATTGTTTTTCCAAAGCGGAATGTGGGACATTTCTGTGCTTTGAAAATCTACTCTGTGTGTTGGATGCTCACACTGCCTCCACTGGAGGGCCACCCACTGAAACTTTCAAAACCTTGCTGTTTGTGCCTCCCCAAGCTTTGGAAAACATGAAGCCAGATTCTCAGCTGGTGTGTAAATAGGTAAATTTCCATTGAAATAAATGGAGCTGCACCCATTTAAAACCAGTGGAGGATCTAACCTTTTAACTCTCTGTGCCTTAGTCTGTTGTCAGTTCCCCATCTATTAAATGAGGATAATACTCCCTGACCTCACAGACGAGGTGTAAGAAATGATCTGTGAGCCCTCTGAGATCCCCTGGCGGAATGTGCATAATTCTATTATACTTATCTCTCCAGACTTCCAGGTAAAGAAGATTTAACAGGCATAAAAACTAGGGACCTGACTCTGAGCTCACTTATATTGGGGCAAATGGAGCGTAACTCTTCTGAGGTTAATGAAGTTCCACCAGTGGCAGTCTTGCCAACTGTCACAATGGTTGGTGTGTTTCTTAAAGCCTCAAGCTCCTGCAATCAGGCTATTGCCTGACAATCCCAGCTTTCAGTTTTTTAAAAAGTAAGTTTCTAGCCCTTATGGCTGCGGAGAAAAGTTTGAAAATGTGAACTCTAACCGTGGCAACATCAGACAGTAAATAAAAGGAATGCCCAATGTATATGTTTTTCATGGTTTTTGAAAACTTGGGGTTGGTAATACTGCTTGTGTAAAACTAGTGTGACTGAGAACAGGATCATGCCCTCTGCTTTAAATATTCTTGGGAAAACTGTATCAACATTGGACAACTATGCTAAGAAAGGCTTCTAAACTGCTACACTCTTTTTCTTTCAATATTGCACCTTAAAGCTGACACTGTATCTGTTAGTTACAACCACTAGAGGTCAGGTTTTTATCATTTATTGATGACAATTGCCAAGACCATCCCTGAAATAAAGATAGAAGGGCCTGACTGGAAACCTCAGATCCAAACCTCCCTGTGCCTCCTGAACTTTGAGGAAGTTTGAATGTGGATCCAAATCTATGTTTCTATGCTCTGTCTCTGCAGTGAAACTGACCAAAAACCTGAGACTAGATTCTTTGTTGCCCTGCACTTTGTTTCGTCATTTATACCAGTGCAAAGAGTGTGCAAATCTCATGGCCATTCTGATTTGATAGCATTTTGCACTGGTATAAATGATGACACAGGCTGGAGAACAACCGAGAATCTAGTCCCGAGAATCCAAACTTCCCCAACCTGGGTAAAGTTCCAAAATTTAAGGGCTCAGGCCCAGCTCTGTTTTAAGGTAATCAGTTTAAGGGCCATGACTAATTTTTAGAGAGAGGCTTGAACAGGAAAATTCAGATCCATATTTCTAACTCCCAAAATGTAAGGGTGTCACGGATTCAAGGTTTTGATTTAACTTGTTATAGAAAACAGGATCAGAAATCAGACTTTGAACTCCAATATCATAAGGGTAGACGTGTTAGTCTGGATCTGTAAAAAGCGACAAAGAGTCCTGTGGCACCTTATAGACTAACAGACGTATTGAAGCATAAGCTTTCATAGGTGATTACCCACTTCGTCAGATGAATGTAGTGGAAATTTCCAGAGGCAGATATAAATATGAAGGCAAGAATCAGTCTAGAGATAACGAGGTTAGTTCAGTCAGGGAGGATGAGGCCCTCTTCTAGCAGTTGAGGTGTGAACACCAAGGGAGGAGAAACTGCTTTTGTAGTTGGCTAGCCATTCACAGTCTTTGTTTAATCCTGAGCTGATGGTGTCAAATTTGCAAATGAACTGAAGCTCAGCGGTTTCTCTTTGAAGTCTGGTCCTGAAGTTTTTTTGCTGCAGGATGGCTACCTTTAAATCTGGTATTGTGTGTCCAGGGAGATTGAAGTGTTCTCCTACAGGTTTTTGTATATTGCCATTCCTAATATCTGACTTGTATCCATTTATCCTTTTACGTAGAGACTGTCCAGTTTGGCTGATGTACGTAGCAGAGGGGCATTGCTGGCACATGATGGTGTATATTACATTACTTTGAACTCCATCATCTCCAGCCTCCCACAGTGTTCAGGGTGCTTCAGATCTATCCCTACTTATTTTCTCATTTTCACTGCAGAGGTTTGGCCCCCCTGGTACTGATTAGAGTTATAAAATGCACACACGTGCACCTGGGACATAGAGTTTGTGGTACTCCTCTTTATTGTCTCATTGTGGGGGAGAGAAGTGCAAGACTGATGTGTATCACAAAGACATGGCTTCTGTTCTTAACATACCTGCAATGACACTCCTTTTTTGGCAGTATTCCATAGCCACCTGGAAGTGGGGTGATAAAGAACACCCATTGGGTTGTGCCTCACCAATTAGAGGAGGGAAAAAACATGAAGAAAAATCCCACAGCCCTTAAGCCCAGCAGGAGTCTAGGCAGGAGAGGGAAGGAACAGCTCATTCCTTCCACTCCTTCCATTTACTGATACTGCATCTTTCCCACCCCACCCATTCCCAGGGCAGCTCTCATTCTCCCCTCTCCTCCTTGCTGCCTATGTGGCACTGAGCTGCAAGGCAGGGAAAGCAGTCCATCAGGTTACCTAGAGAGCCAGGTGTACAGACTTCTGAAAGCTAGGCCAAGATCTAAGATCTGATGATGGTAGGTTTGGGGGGCAAGAAATACCAAAATTCAGTAGCCAGTCTCTGCACTTCAGCTCCTCACCAGAACCAACGCCCCTATATCACACCAGGAGCCCCCCAACCCTGCAGTTAGCTTTCCACCCCATTACAGCATCAACCCTCCTACCACTATTTCTACCCAGGACCCATCATCCCCTCAGCAAGCACACCTCCCAACCAGGCGGCAGCAGCAACAACAAAAAGCCCCTGGTTTCTCATCATGAAGCCAACTCACAATCCTTTGCAGCTGCAAGGGAGTGTGGGATATAGTGGACTATAGGATAGTTTTTTGGGGATGGTGAGCCAGGCCAAAGAAGTTTGAGGAGAACTGCTGCTTTCTGGAATCAAGTAGAGAAAGAAAGCATCTTCTGCACCCATCTAAAACACATCCAAATCCAGTGGCTCTGAATGTTCTACACAGAATGACAGCAGTCAAGATTTTTAGTTCTAATTGACCCGCACACTATTTTTTTCCCTAACAGTTGGGCAACCTTTTTTCCTCCAAGAACTTATGCAAATGTGTCTATTAATAGAACATTCCCCCAAACACTGTTTGAATGGGGAAGAGAAGTGATTATCCAGCAAGCCAATCAGAGAACTGTTAAATAGAGAAGAAAAACCAAGATGCTTCGCCATCTTCCTGTTTTACATCAGTTGCTTAATAGCTGTGTCAATGTGACAGATCGTCTCTGAAGGAAATGAAAAAATTCAAGAAGGGTATTAT